TGCATATATTTCTCAATTATATAATACTTTGGTGCTTTTGTCTCCGAGATTTACTGTACTTTAACATTTGTATGCATTTTACAGTAAAATTTTGAAGACTTTATAAGCATCCTGCTTTCTAATTAACAGTGAGGATAAAATGTTAGTGTGATAAATATTAAACATGCATAATTAAGGAATATTAAAAATCAATCTAGTTTTTTTTTCTTTTTTTCTTTCTCTCCCTTGAAGGTAAGATTTATCCGATACAAGATTTGGAAGAATGAATGTATAATTTAGAGAAACACTTCCCTGAATACCAATATTACTTTATATAGTAATTATGGGATTTTAAATGCCAATGAGTTCTTTTTCTTTTGTATGAACTTATGAATGTATTATAATAAAGCACTTTTGACAAACTAATCAAATAAAACAATATAAGATTTAATTATCAGCTCTCTAAAGGTTTTATGAACCAGATTGTTTCTATTGCCAGAATCATTTAGTAATTTAGGAATCTCAGAATCCTCTTAAATCTTTTATTTTGTTCTTAAAGTAGTGGGGTTTTTTACGTGCTCACTACAAAAATATCAAGCATAGAAAAATATAAAGAAAATTTAAAATCATTAAAATTTCTACATCTCAGGTAGAACTACTATTGATATTTTTAGTTAATATTCTTGTAGACATCTGTGCATACACAGACGTGCTCACACAGGCATACACCCAGTTTTATGTAGAAAGGTTAATAAAATATGTTATACGATATTCTATTATCAATGCATTTTTAATGCACTCTTCTGTTGTTTCTGTGTTAGTAAATACAGATGTACATCATCATTTTAATGGTTGCATTATACATATTATATACAGTATATATATATGTATACCATATCTAATCTCCTATTGATAATACTTAGATTGCATCCTTTTTCCTCTATTATGTGTTTAGCAACATCTCTGCACATTAGTCATTTTGCATCTGTACAATTATCTTCTTAAGACAAAATCCTAGATATCTGATTAATTACCGAACTGTCTACCAGAATTATTTCAGTTGACACTTCCAGTAGCAACCTAATAGAACGATTGCTTTTTCACAGTTTTCTAATATTGGATTTGGTCTTTCTTAAATATTGGCAAATGATAAAAATGTGTCGTTTTAAAATTTGCATCTCTTTGATTATTAATGAAGTTCTACATATTTTTAAGTGCTTATTGGTCATAGTTTCTCTCTCTCTGTCTTTAAAGTAGAGATGGCGTCTTGCTATGTTGCTTAGGCTGGTCCCAAACTCCTGGCCTCAAGTGATCCTTCCACCTTGGCCTCCCAAAGTGCTGGGATTATAGGCATGAGCCACGGCACCCGGCTTTGGCCATTAGTTTTTCTTCTTTGATCAGTTGCTTCAATATTTTTTGAGGGATGGTTGGCTTTTTCCTTTTTCTTTTACAAACTATGAAGTTCTTACTATGGGATGGTTGTGTTTTGTATTGACCTGTAGGAAATCTGTGAATATTGTGATATTGCCATTTAGATTTCTAGTTTATGATTTGACTGTTAACTCTTCACAGAATGATTTTTGAATTAAACTAAATGTTGCTTATAAATGTCACTCATTTATTTTGTTTGTTACAAACATTTATTGATGTTTCATTTTATACTTTCAAGCTTTTGTATTATAGTTAAGAATGGCCTTTGTCATCTCAAGATTGTGAAATACTTGCCAATATTTTCTCATAGTCTTAGGGTTTAATTTTTTTTACATGATAATCTTTGATCCATCTGGGATTTATATTTAATCAAAAGAAAGGTAAGAAGCCAGTAATACTTTTACCTCAATTGCTGAACAGTTGTGAGACTTTATGAATATCCAATTTTTTACTAGTGATTTAAAGTGACTCCTTTTATATTGAATTCCCTTATATATTTGAATCAATTTGAAACTATCCTGTTTTATTGACATCTTTTTGAATAATTTTGGGGGGACTTTTATTTCTGTGGCTTTTTTTTAATAGGAAAAGTATCCCTTCATTATTCTTTTTCAGATTATCTGTACATTTTTGCATGCTGACTTGGTGAGATTTAAAATCATTAACAAAAGCCATGCCAGTTTATTCATTTGGGGTTATATAGTATTTATAGATTGAGGGGAAATAGGTACTTTTATAATACTAGATTTTCTTATTGAAAAAACAAGTTTTTCCCCCATGGATTTAAGTATTTTTAAAAATGTACCTCAGTAGCATTTTGTATTTTCTCCATGTAGGCCCTAGGTATTATTTTAAAAAAGCTTTTTCCTAGATGTTTTTAATTGTTGTTAATTGCATCATCTCCACACTATTTTCTGATTGTTAATGGTTAAAACATAAACTATTAACTTTTGTTTATCTATTTTATATCCAGACACTTCAGTGAGCACTCATTTTTTTTTTCTAGTAATATTTCAGTTGATTTTAGCCTTATAATGTCTCACCAGGTGGAAGTGAGGGGCCTAAGAAGTAAATATAACTATCTTATTGTAGGATGTCTTGAAATAATTAGAGAATGGTGCCTAAAGTAGAACAGAGTTTATGAAATATAATTTGTACATCCAGGGCAGGCTGAATGTAGACTAATCACCATGATTGAAATATAATGTGTCAGCCTAAGTGTACTAGAATGAATAAACATACCATTTAAATGAGATTAATATTCCGAAATGTTATTTGTACTTTATTAATCTCTCAGGATTAATCTTTGTGAATTCTATATTATTTACTTAACCAGGAAAAAGATGGAATTGTTAGTTAAGTGGGAAGGCATAGTTCTAGTAAGGAAAGTATGAAGAAATGGGAGAGAAAAAGGATTTCCTCAAAATAGGAGTTTACTAGGTTGTGAATTCCAGGCTTGCTAATTTTTTTAATTCTCCACAAATAAAATATAACTTCTTTTTTTTTCTTAATTTTTCCAACATAACACCTGTTACATCAACCATCTACCCTATCGACACACCCCCAAGCCCAGTAAGTAGGTGTAAAATGGTCTGACAATGCCATCTGGTGGCTCCCTGGGGAATTGTGTACAGTAACCTCGACCTGCTGGACTTCACTCCTTGGTGAACCTGAGGTACCGACCTGGGCTCATGTCTTGGATGCCACATTCAGGCTTGAGAGCAGGCAGTTTACAATGGGGCTGTAGACCAAGAGTGACAAGAAATCAAAGTGCAGGTCTGGGGAAAGGCTGCTGGGGGAATAAGGAAGGTGCCCAAAAGGCCACATTCACAGGAGCTGGTTGAGAACAAGGACTAGATTTTCCTTTTCCCTCCCTCCTCCCTTTTCCGTCTTCCTTCCTCCTTCCCTCCCTCTCTTCCTCTGAGTTACTTTCCCCCACACTGCCTGCCTTTTTCTTAACTCTTGTTCTTGCATTCTAAGGAAAGCCTCCCTCTCTCTCTTCCCTCATTCTGTTTGGGAGCAGCATCATAATCCTAACTACAGCTGATAAGTCTAAGGGTAGTGATTGTAGGTCAACTTTATTAAGGAAAAGGGAAGGCAGAAGTTGGCAAATGAAGAACCCAGCATTGTGAACGCATGAGTCCTTGGAAGGGATCAGAAGTCCCCTTCAACATTACCATGGTGTCGGATTTTCCCCTTCCTCCGACATGATTTCTCCATTTGCCTGCACGCAGGATTTTCATCTCTTCTACCCACTGCCATATCTCCAACACCTGGAACAGTACCTGTCCAGTAAAACGAGCTCCACTAATACTTGTTGAAGGAAAGAATTCTAGAGGAGTAAGAACATCTGGCTCATCATTTTTTACTGTATTTCGATGTTGTCTTCTTGTAAGTGTTATAGTGATGCTAATTTTCATTGTGAAAGTATGATTTTGGACTTTTGTGGGATAATTTAAGTATTAAAAGATATTTCTAGCAGAAATTGTTTTTTAAGTTCTAACCTACTAACTGGCCAACTTTCAGAAAATAACCTGTTGGTAAGTTAGGGACTCTCTGTATCTTTCCTTTTTATGTTTCAATAATGTATCTTTTATATACATAAAGGAAGTAAAAACAACAACAAAATGACCATCTTTTTTTCTGTCTTTGCTTCTCAAGTGCTCCAAGCTTCCCAAAATAGAATCTAAGGCTATTAAATATGAGGAAAACACAGGTTTGAAAAGCTGAAAAATATTAAGCATTTGGCAGAATATCTTTTCTGTATATGTTTTCTCTGTGTGCACAGATTTGTTTGCATTACAAATCCTTGATCACAGACTTGGAGTCATATTTATTCCCTGTATAGAACTAAGCACAGAGAAAATGCTGGATTTCCCTAATATTTTGCAGAACTGTACCCTTGTTTTGTGATTCTCCTAAGAACTGGAGAGAGAAGGCAGAATGTTTTTATTTCTTAGATTGTTCCTCTGACATTGGTGTTGTGTGAGACTTGTCTGTGGGTAAATAATAATAATAATATCATTTTCTGCTAACCATTTCAACACTCTAGGATTCCCAGACTATCTCACAAATCTGTGTGATCTTAAAGAAATGCTTTTGCTGTAATGCAAAGAGAAAGCTAAAATGAATTAAAAGCTGGCCTAAATTAAGACAGCTGGGGTGATCACTGGGTGTATAATACCAGAGTGTGGTAGACCTTGGTTGTTTTGAGAATGTGTCACAGCATCCTACATCAGAGTTGATATGTTGTCCTGGCTGATTTTGGTGGCTGTGGTCGTGGGGAGGGGGAGCTCTTTAAACTTTGTTGACTACATGGATTGTGAAAAACTGTAAGGCATGCAAAAAGCATGGGCTGACTTTAGAGCCAGAGGGCTCTCAGGCTACAATCTGGCAATGCCTCTTTGTGACCTGGAATAAAATAGGTAACATCTCAGAGGCTTAGTTTACCTTTCTGCAAAATGGAAGTAATGATGCCTACCTAGAAGGGCTGTTGTGAGGACTGGTGCTGGTACCTGGCTGGCAGGACTTGCTCAGTTGACCAGTTATGATCACAGTGTTCACCTGTTATCTTTCCATCTCTCCACTAGGTACCTTGGAATTACAAGGCCCCTCACCTACCCTGTGAGACAAAATGGGAAATGCATGGCGAAGATGATTCTCTCCGTCTGGCTTCTCTCTGCCTCCATCACTTTACCTCCGCTCTTTGGATGGGCTCAGAATGTAAATGACGATAAGGTGTGCTTGATCAGCCAGGACTTTGGCTACACGATTTACTCTACCGCAGTGGCATTTTATATCCCCATGTCCGTCATGCTTTTCATGTACTACCAGATTTACAAGGCTGCCAGGAAGAGTGCTGCCAAACACAAATTCCCTGGCTTCCCTCGAGTGGAGCCAGACAGCGTCATCGCCCTGAATGGCATAGTGAAGCTCCAGAAGGAGGTGGAAGAGTGTGCAAACCTTTCGAGACTCCTCAAGCATGAAAGGAAAAACATCTCCATCTTTAAGCGGGAACAGAAAGCAGCCACCACCCTGGGGATCATCGTCGGGGCCTTTACCGTGTGCTGGCTGCCATTTTTCCTCCTCTCGACAGCCAGACCCTTCATCTGTGGCACTTCCTGCAGCTGCATCCCACTGTGGGTGGAGAGGACATTTCTGTGGCTAGGCTATGCAAACTCTCTCATTAACCCTTTTATATATGCCTTCTTCAACCGGGACCTGAGGACCACCTATCGCAGCCTGCTTCAGTGCCAGTACCGGAACATCAACCGGAAGCTCTCAGCTGCAGGCATGCATGAAGCCCTGAAGCTTGCTGAGAGGCCAGAGAGAGCTGAGTTTGTGCTGTAAGGTCATTTATCATTATTTTCCTTTTATCCCCCAAACCCTTTCATGCAGCTTTTTGAAGCACATCACAGAAAGTTTCCTGAACGAGTAGCTAGCTTATTTTTTACTAAACATACCAGATTTGAATTGACAACAGTATAGATTCCAATCTTCCACCCAGTAAAATTCCAAAAGCCAAAAATAGGTACTTAGTTGGATTGGTAGATGAGACTAATTTGCTGAAGAATTGCAATTGATGTGATTGACAACAAAGAGGTGATATTTTCCATTCTTTCTCCATAAATGACATCCAAATTATGTCCTTACATCTGAATTTGTGTAACACTATTATTTTAGTTGTTATTATTCTTCTATCTAGTAAAACTTTTTTGATGACTTCAACCTTCACCGATAAATTCTTCTTTTGAGGTAGGAGGCACAATGATCTCTCTAGTATGCAGTTACATTCACCTGGGCTGAAAGGAGGCAGCCCAGGAAAAAGAAGAGTGGTTAGTGTGGGTCTCAAGAACCGGACATGGTAGAACGCCTCTGTAATCCTAGCCTCTTGGGAGGCCGAGGCGGGAGGATAGCTTGAGCCCAGGGGTTGGATTATGCAGTGAGCTGTGATCATGCCATTGCACTCCAACCTGGTTGACAGAGCAAGACCTGCCTCTAAAAAAGAAAAGGAAAAGAGCCACAGGACCGTTTAGGAAATGTTCCTGGCCATCTTGGCAGGAGAGAACCAAGAATTGGTCTAAGAAGTCTTAATGACTTTCAAGGAAGCAATTACCATAGGGTCTTGGGATCTGAAAAAGGATCTGATGGTGATAGAGAAATGGAAATTTCAGAAGTGACCCACGTGTTAAAAAATTGACATTGTAAAGAAGGAAAGAGATAGTATATTAGTTAGAGGTGTCAACATGTCAGATGAAGACTCTGTTTTAAATGTGAGGTAGAGGAGATTTCTTCACATTTGAAAGTCAGGGAAAAAATAAACTTGGAATAAAAAATTGGAAGGTTCTGGTCAGACAGTGAGCAGATTAATGTTCGAGGTGTCCATCTTCACAGCCTGGCGGGAAGGAGCAGACTAGAGAACCAGGGACCACTCTAGCAGAGAGGGACCTTCCCAGTCATCTTGCCCACCCCTGTCATTCAACAGAAGAGCTAACTGGGAGTTGAAAAGTGAGATGTCTCACACTTAGCTAGTGTCACAACTGAGTCTAGATCCCACATCATCTGAATCCCAGTGCTACTCATTTTTCTTATACTGGACTGCCTTTATCTTACAACTGAAAGTTGGAAGACTACAGTTATGCTAATTCTTAAGCACAGTGTAGCTTCACTCAGTGTTTACTTCTATATACTCTTTTGTACACATGAGATTGTTCACAATATAAAAAGTAGCATTAAAAAATAATGTAATTTTAAGTTCTAGAACATGTACTATGAGCAAACCCAGAGATCTTACTATGCCTGTAAGAGTTCATTGAATTTACTATTAGGATTTTCCTACCAGATTCTGAATTCCTTCAGAGAAGGAACTATGTCTTAATCAGATTTCTTTCTGCAGAATCTAGTACAGTACTTGACACATAATAGATGATAAATAAAAGTAATAACTGCTAACCATTATTGAACACCTGCTACATGCTATGCAGCATGCTACCTGCAAAATAGGTGCTTCTGGCATCCCCACTTTTCAGAAGAACAACTTACGGCTCAGGAGCATAAAGTAACTGAGTGGTAGCTGTGATATGAATCACTCCGATGCTTCTATGGAATGTTATGCCATAATACTTCTCAAGTGACTTCAGTATATAGGCAGTGAAGAGTCTCAGAATATTTTTGAGCTGGAGACTAGCTGTAAGCTCTCTAAGAAGACAATGAGAATGACTTGTTACACTAAGTAAGTAAAGTTTAATAGACTTACTGCACTATGAGTGGTATCCACTCCTAGACAGTCTTAGTAGTTTCTCAGATGAAGGAAATAAGGCAAAGATATTGATAGAGTTTTGGGGCTTGGGCTGGGTGATTTGAAATTGGGGAACTGGTGAAGATTAGGCAGAGTTTATGACATAACAGCTTTAGACTGGTAAGTACAACTAGATGAGGGCTGTGAAGTAAGTGCTAATGAGCAAACTATTAGTTTTGATAAGTAGGCTATTTTTGTTGGCATATAGTCTTATCTTCTGAAAGTGACTATTTCCTAGAACAAATAGCTAGGCTATTTTGCCTGGCTCCAGCATTGTTTAGCACAGGAAAAGGAAAGCGTGTTGGTTGTAGTTCTCAGGAGTAACATGGGGAGGTCTCTCTGGCAATAGTGAGGAGGGCAGACAAGGGAAAGATGGGTGGCAGGGGATCCAGTTAAGCAGCCAGTTTATAAACTAGGAAAGAACAGATAATGTCATGAGCAAGGAAACGCTGCTATATTTGCATGCATCCTATAGGGTCAAAGAACTTGAGAATAATTTTATTGATTATTTTAGTTAATAATTCATAGATAATTCAGATAGATCATAAAATGGTAATCTTTAAAATGTAACACAAAAAGGTTTTCCAATTTAAAATAATAGCTTGTGTTTGCTGAGGATTCACTCTCAGGCACTTTGCTGAGCACTTTATGTGAATTTGATCAATTAATCCTCAAAAGTTTATGATATGTTAGTTTTCTTCTTTTCCATTCTGAAAATAACAAAACAAGGGCTTGGAGAAGTATAATAATTTCCCCCACAGTCATACAGAGAGTGATAGAGCTGGATTTAAGCCCAGGACATCTGTGTTCAAAAGTGCTTTTAACTTCTATGCTACTGTGCCTTTTATAAAAATAAATCAGCTAACGTAGAGTCTAAAGATATTTGCCTTTGTATCTTTAGCTGGTCTGGAGGCTTGGGTGTTGTTTTCCTGTTAGCTTAACACAGAGGTCAGCAAACTTTAACTGTGAAGGGCCAAGTGGTAAATATTGTAAACTTTGCTAGCCATATGGTCCCTATTGAAACTACTCTTCTCACTGATGAGTAATTTGTCACTGACATAAGTAAACGGATAGGCCTGTGTACCAATAAAACTTTATTTACAAAAAGAGGCTGCCAGTTGTATTTGGCCCACAAGCCATAGTCTGCTGTATCCTCTTTACATTTCTCTCAGTTTGAATTTATAATTACAGAATATCCACTTCATTAAGGATGATTAGCCTAAAAACATCCATCAGCTTTAGGAAATTTCTAATGTGGCTGCCATGCATTGAGGAAAATACAGAAAACAGGTGATATCTCTCATGTCCTTGTGCATATATTTTTGTTGGATATACCTTACACAAACAGACATATGTTGCTATGGCCCGAATATTTGTGTCTCCTGCAAAATTCGTATTTTGAAACCAAATTCCCAATGCAATAGTATGAAAATGTGGATTCTTTAGGAGGTAATTAGGTCATGAGGGCAGGGCCCTCATAAATGGGATTATTGCCTTTATAAAAGAGGCCTGAGGGAGCTTGTTCACATCTTCTACCATGTGAGGACGCAGTTAGAAGTTACCTTCTATGAAGCAGACAGCGAGCCCTCACCAGACATGGGATCTGCTGGTGGCTTAATCTTGGATTTCTCAGCCTCTTGAACTCTAAGAAATAAATCTCTGTTGTTTATAAGCTACCAGTTTATGGTATTTTGTTATAGCAGCCTGACTAGGCTAAGACATACACACATGCAACCTTTCTGTAATAAGGAAAGGTGGAGACAGGAAAAGCTATAGGATTCAAAGGAAAGGAAAATAACCCAGAGCTTATACTAACCCTCATCAGAGAAGACTTCCTGAAGGATATAAACTCAAGAATGTCTATTAAGTTGGTCAAAGCATTTATAGTGAAAGGAGAGCAGAAATGTTATTCCAGGTGAAGAGGACTTTTTTTGTAAAGGCACCAATGTGGGAGCTTATGCAAAGGACCACCTGGCTGAAACTAAGCATTTGGGTGCAGGAACTGTTGGAGATCAAAGCAGAAAAGTAGATTGAGATGAAATTGTAAAGGATCTTCTATGCCAGCTCCAATAATTTGGACTTTTAGTATTGACAAATGGTTCTTAATCAGGAGTAATTTTGCCTCCCACCCCAACTCTTTGGAAACATTTGGCATTTTCTGGAGGCATTTTTGGTTGTCACAAGTGGGGGTGGGACGCTTCTGGCATCTACTGGGTAGAGGCCAGGGCTGCTGTTAAGGATTTTACAGTATACAGGCCAGCACCCCTGCCCCCCTCCCTGCTCCAACAAAGAAGTACCCAGTCCTTATTGCTAAAGTTGTGACACTCTGGTGTAAATATAGTAAGCCATCAGTGAATCTGCAGGTAGGGGAATGGAGTCATCACAATGGTCAAGACTGATGCAGTAGCACTGTGTGCGTAACTCAGAAGGTAAAAAATGGATGTTGTTTTTCCCAGAAAATTGGCTAGTTTTTCCCAGAAACATTTGAGGGTCTGCTATGTACAAGGTATGGAACTAGGCATGGGTAGGGTAGAAAGGTGAGTAAATGACAGTTGTAGTCCCTGGAAGCTTTTAATCTAGTATGCTGGGGTGGCTGTAGAGGTGGTGGTGGCTAGTAGGAGACTTGTAATAGGAACCCTTTGCTCCCCTTGCCTTTCTCTAGCTCTCACTCATCTTGTGGTCACCCTACAGACTCTGGGCTCCTCCGGACTCTGAGCTTTCTCCAGCTCTTTTCCTCCCATTAGCTTCTGGGCTTCTAGTCTCTCTTACCTTCTCGCCCTGTTCTGCTTTCTTGGCTCTACGTATTCTCCTACATAATAGTTTCTTTCTTTCCTGTGTAAACCTGTGAGACTGTGTTCCTACTCCCAAATATTTACCTATTTTTCCCCATTTTCTTGATCAGCATAACCAGAACCTCAGGAGTTCAGCAGGCACTTGAAAATTTTCCCTGGGGTAATGAAGTGAATAGATGGGGGAAAAGTTGTGAATACTTTTGCACTGGTAATTTTAATTTACTGCTATCAGTTTTAATCCTTTTCACAAGTATTCACAGATTGGTAATATAAAACCAAATGTGATAATGAAATATAATCAAGGATTCTTTTTTCTTTTTAAATTTGATTACTTATGGATTTGCTTTGAATTGCCATCAATTGCTTTTAAGTATCCTGTTTTCATGAATTTTGTTGATGCCATTTATGAATAACATTGAACGGCACTTTCTAAATACTTCCATATAAAAGAATGTCATGAAATTGTTTTAAAGTAGCTCTTCTTTTCCTGCTCCCTTTTTTCCTGGTGATTGTATTGTCATTGTCTTCAAAGGGCCTCTTATAATTCCTGTGGATTGCAGGGGTCCTAGTGGTGACTTGTAGCAGAGTAACCTTGGGTTTCTGCCATGAATTCTGCCAATACAGTGCTCCAGGGTTTGTCGTGAAGCGTCCTGAAAGGTGCTTTCTTTCCTTGTGGAAACCAGTAATTAAAAATAAAATAAAGTAAAATAGATCCCAGAGAAAATTGGGAAGAAGCATGAAAGCCTCTGAAACCCTGGGTATCTGTGTTCGGATGCTGCCTTAAAGGCAGAAACAAACAAAAAGTTTGCTATTTCATGGACTTTTCTTCTCCATAGATGATTTATTTTCATTAAATCATCATTTTATTTTTACTAAATCATCAATTAGTAATAATAGCTTATTTGCTTCATGCTTCGCAATTGCCTACATTTTAACTTTGCAATGTTTCTTTAAGGAAGGCAAGTGATTTCCCTCCCTTGCTTTGTCTAATATTTATATATTTTTGTTCTATTAGTAGATAATAAATTCGTATAGCACAATATAAAATCAAGCAGTACAGAGGAGTACAGAAGAAAAATAAGTCTTGAGGGGCATTCTTAGAAAGAAAATATCCATGGTAGAAATCAAGAACAGGGGGATATTTGAGGTGGGTCTTGAAGAAGGAGTAGGATTTTAACAAGAAGACATAGTAGGGGTGGAAGTGGAGTGGTGGCTGTTCAAGGCAGAGGGGACAGCATGGACCGAGGGGCCCAGATGTTGATAGAGGTGGACAAGAAGTTTGGGGCATGTCTTCAGCAGTACTGGGAAGCTGGGTAGTCTATGGTCAGCATGGAGGGCTAAGTGGGCAGGGGTGAGGGAAGGAGATGAAGGCTTTTGAGCAGGAGTGAGACTAGGGATGCAGTATAAATGATGTATGGAAGGCTTCACAATAGGAGAAGGGATATGGGTTAGAAGACTGATGCAAGAGTGAGGTCTCATGTCAGGAGGGCCTGCACAAGGAGGGTGCTCTTGAGACTAGGAAAGAGGCCACAGGTGTCTGTGTGGATGCTACAATCTCCAGACCATCACAATTGGTTAGCAGGTGGGTAGCAAGGAAAGGGAGACTTTGGAGATAGTGCTGTGGCCTAGAGGAATTCAGAACATGAACTATGTGAGCAGAGCAGTGCTGAGCTGGAGAAAGTGTGGTCTCTCCTGTGCTGAGAAGAGACAGAGGCCCTGGGCTAGGAACGTGTCTGTGGAGCACAGATGGTTGCCAGTCCCCTCTTCAGATACCTAGGAGCCTATAGTGCTGGGTCTGGGCTGAAGTGCAGCACTTGTCCTCAAGTGTTATTGTGTGAGGCTGAGGGGAAAAGCCAGAAACCATGTCTCCAGCAAAATCCATCTATTGATCACCCATCTGAAGGGCTGGGCTGAGAGGGGGACCTCAAAGAAGGAAGAGCAGGACTGCAGGCAAAATAGCCAAATGGCAGGGTAGGGAGTGCTTTAGATGGTGTGGGTACGCTGAGATTGGTTGCACAGTCCCAGGCTCTGGGTCCTCAAAGACCTAGCTCTTAAGCACATGATGTAGTGTGGTAAGTCAAGGCCGGTGGAGGTGCAGAGTTAGGGGGGTGGCTTTACACCAGGAGAAAGGGACTTTTCTCAGCCATTGGCTGACACTTCTCTATCACCAATACCACTTCTGTGCATCTAGGAACGAGGGAGAGAAGTGAAGTTTCTTGGTCCCTGCACACTTACCTTACAATAACACACCTTCCTAGGTTTGAGGGAGAGAACACTTCTCGTTGGTAATCATTATTTAGTCATTATTCTTTTCAAGTAGGGCAAGTGCAATAGTATTTTGCAAGGATTTTTGAAAGCAAAGTCATTTTTGGCTATAGCTATATTAAAAAGGTGAATTTCTAAATGGGTTATTTGGGGCTGATTTGCAAATATATTAAAGCCTTGGCAACTTGTGGGAGTTACGAAACCTACCAAAAGAGTCACAGCACTTTTTGTTTCCCTTTAAGGATACTCATAATCCATTAGAAGCCACAAATGATTCAAATTACTGACTGCTGTAAAAATTAAGTCCACCCACCACAAAATGAAAACTCACATTTACGGTTCTGCTAAATCATTTTCTTATTTCTCTTTCTCTTTTTTTTTAGACAAAACGCTGACTACTGTAGAAAAAAAGGTCATGATTCATGATCGAAAGCAGAACAATGGAGATGAAATAAACAAGGCAAATTAGAGGTGGAAACAGAAGGAAGTCATTTGCTGAGACTGCAGAATGGAATACGACTTCTCTCCTTTCTTGGGATGTCTAAAACGTGACAAACAGGGTGATCTGTTGTACACATTACCTTACAAGGGAGATGGTGACTTCTCCTTTTTTCTGTGGATCAGTGCTGTTGTGTGTTCTCAGTTTAAGATAGCAGATCATCTCAGCAGTAAGCACACCGACAGAACTGAGTTCCACAAAGGAAGCAGTTTCTGGTGCTTTGCATATGTCCAAATCCATGCAAGTGGGAGAAAGTTCCAATGCACACTTCCCATGCTTCTGAGTCTTGGTGTTGTGGTGAATATACAGGAATCATTCCTGAGACAGAATGTATTTTGTTGTATGACAGAAGGCTTTTCCAAGCAAACTGCAGTGAGTGTAGTGTTGAATATGTTGCATGTCTATGTTAGAAAACAGAATCCAGTCATCAGCTAATACAAATGATTTCCCAGAGCAGTGTTTGTTTCAAGCTTCTGTCAAATAGTTTGGCTTTTCTGCAGGGTCTCTGTGATTTCCCCACCAATGTACTTTCTTTGTTAACTCACTTATTATGGTATAACTCAGGAACAGGTCTCAGGATGGAGAGAAGCATATAACTTGAGCAAAGCTTTTTGTTGTGCTCTGAAGGGTCTTGAGGGGTGAGGGTGATGCCTTCTGTGAGGATTTTTATCGCAGTGAAGCTCAAGTGGTACCCAACTGCATTGTAATTAACATGATTATTGGCATGCTTTTGACTCTCATTTTCTACCAGGCTGCAGTGGGCCCACCCATGGGCTGGCCCATAACTGTATGTTATGTGGAAGAAGTGTGGGAATGATGGGTTTTCCATGAAATGTTGTGATGCTTCTGGAGATGGGGCATAAACATGTTCATTCTTGTTGAGCTGCATTGTATTAAACCAAATTGTGTGAAGCAAGGTCACCTGGACCACTCTTGGGAAATGCTTCAGAACACCAGTCTGTTCCTTCTAGAGAATTTGTTTTTGTGTTCTCTGTATCTTAAATCAAATGTGTGCCTAAGCAATTCCGTCCTCTGATTCCCACCCCTACCCACCAAAAAATGGTAGACATGAAGGGCAGGTAAGGAAACAGAAAAGGTCTCTTTGTGGATATATATTTTTTAAATGGCACTATGTAGCAATTAAGAGCTAAGGAGACAGAAAGACAGCAGATGAGAATAGAAGAGTACCTGTACCTACAAGGGGAAAAATGAATGCAATTCTTTATTTGATAAGAGAGAACTGAAAGATAATATTATTTTCCTACAATAAAGCAAGCTGTCCTGTCACAGGATAAAGTGGAATTCCGACATGGATTATGGACTTCTTCTAACTCCCATTGACATTGCTTCTTACCAGACATGGGGAAGAGTTGCCTTTCCTGAATGGGGAGGAGGGCACTGTCCTTTCAGACAAAGCTTGTATAAATTCCTGAACCGCAAATTTGCTAAAGTGACCGTATATATTATATTCATAATTTAAATGATTATTTATGGTCAGATACATATTGTTAAACTTGAAAATGTTTTATTACATTACATCAAATAAAGTTTATTTGTAGCTGAAATAAAGCAATGTAAGTAAAAATTTTTAATTAAAGGTCTTATGTCATACATGTTGCTGTCTGTAGAATGACTGAAGGGCAAACACTTTATATGTTTGCTAAAATCCTAACAGGTAGCTAAGACAGCTCTGGATTCAATTACATTTCACTGTGAGGATTCATTGCCTTAGTGACTTTATTTTTATAAAACAATGCCTGTTCATTACTTGATCTGATTAATGAGCATTGTTTGGGCTCCTGGCACACTCGGCATTGCTGGCATCAAGGGGACAAAGATGGGTATGGCACAGTCCTTGCTTTTAAGAGTTTGCCATCAGGTAGATGGCAAACATGTCTCGGTTTGTCACAATGTAGTATAGTAAGTGCTATAGCAGGTTTTAGGGAGTGACTTTTTATTTCCTGTAGTGCAAGACAGGGCACTATGGTTAGTTGGATTGATTCAAGTTTTCAGATGTGTTGTTTAATTTTTTATGAAGACCTTCGTGATTCAAATTGGCTCTTTATCCTGCCTGACTTGAATGCCTGACTGTTGACCTCTCTGCTTCATTCTGGCTACAAAGGCTGAGCTTCATGTGTATACTGTGCTTTAAATATATGGCAGCAAATGAAAGGCAAAGGTAGAAATGGCAAAGGGATGAGAAAAATAAATCATTAATACAGTTTCACATATGACATAATTTGTGTCAAAGACACAGCTTTTGTTTTAACTAAGAACTGGGAAAATCATTGAAATGAGCATTTTGTATATAATGACTGTTCAAGCAAGAAGGACTATTCCTCTTCTCACTCTAGGGTATCAGCTGTCATTTTCTGGCAAGGCTGAGTACTGGGAAACCATGCTTCAGAAGTAAATCACTTACTTGTAAGAGATAACTGAGTCACTGTTGCCTTAGCATTTAGTTTTATTCTGTAAATATTAAACAGGAGACACTCAGAGTTCCTAGGTTTTCTAGCAACTGTTTCATAACTGAAAGCATTGGTTATGTTGTCATGGGCTTGATATGCTTGTGCATGTATTTGATGATCATATTTTCATGTAGTTTTATTAGGTTCATTGATTGCAGGCAGTGGGTCAAAAATATGAATGGAAAATGCAGGCAATTTTTTCAAATAGTTTATGCTAATATAATAAGTGTCTGATTTACCATCTAGAGATAATGGGAATTTCCCTTTCAGCATTTTCATTGTCAATTGAGTTTTCAATTTAATGACTATAAATGTTTCTAAATATTGGAGTCTTGAAAAGTTGTTCATGCTCCTTCTGATATCACACGTTTTCCCTCTTGGTTTGCGATATTCTTCCTGATCTCATTTATTTGATGTATGTCTTCATTATTGTCCAGTAAATCTTCAAGGGTAGGGACCACATCTGTTTTTCTCAACAATATGCCCATTACCTAGCACCATGCTGGGAACACATATATGGTAGGCCCATAATGGATATATCTTAATGAGAAGGATAGAGGGAAGGAGAGAAAGGCAAGAGTTCACTGGCACCTTTAAAAAAATGTTTCTATGAGGAAACAGAGAAGACTTGCCATGATCCAGCAACATGCCCAGTGAATGGAAGAGAGGGAAATGGAATTAAGCTATTCTGTGTGCCCCTTAGGTCAGGCCCTCCACTACATGGTCCTGCTTCTCTTACAGGAGTTAGCTACTCATATCATGAGAGCGTCCTTTTCTTAATTTTCTGCACTAGTGAAGCAGAGCCATGTATGTGCTATGGCCCATATGTTGAAACTTGTTTATCTACAGCTAGCCAGATGGTCTGTAACAGCGCACAAAGAAGCCGTTTGGAAACTTTCAGAGGGTCAGCATGTTTTGAAAACAACTCAGAGTAATGCATATTGTGATGTCATTGCTTGCTTTAAGCTTACAGTGAGGAATATCTTGTTAGGTACTGAATATGAAACATGCAGACTTTGAGAACCAACTCAGAGGTTCTAGCCCCCAGAGATAGAAATTTATTTAATTGGATCACCCTTTAGACTTGTTTTGTCTGCATGTTCTCTGAAAAAGGAATATAATGTCTTAATTTAAAATACTTTGCTTTTTAAGTTGCTGCTGGGTTAAATACATTTTTTAAAGAAAACCTGCTTATGCGGTACATGTTAACAGAGATATGATGTGGTCATCAGTAAAAATGTAAAAGAGAATTTGCTATAGCTGATATGAAACAGAAAGCGAGAGACGTTGACAAGTATCAGAAGTAGATTTGCAGCTAACGGTTCTGTTTAGTCTTTGGTACATTAAAAAAGCCAAGATGAAAGAATTATACCTGTACTAGTAGAGGGGTAAAATGGTAATCTAAAATAGCAGATGATAAGAAATATCTGGAATTTATCTTTGATGCGGTATTATGTAATATTTTTGGTGCCAAATTACCTTTTCCTAATTACATTTTGATTGGGCTATTATTAAAATGCTCTTTATTCTTTAAACCCACACAGTCTCACAGTAGGAGAAGTGGTTCAAAGCTATGATGAGAGGCAGAAGAAAGTCAGCTGTACATATAAAAGTTTGTTATGGATAATTCACAAAGTGCATGATCCAGTTGTAGGCAAAATGAGCTATAACTATATCCACAATCACAGAGCTGGGGAATCTCATGGATAATCTAATACAACCCCTCTACTCTTCTGCAGGTGAGACAACACTAAAACACTAGAGCTGTGTTTCATCTGAATTTGTTTGAAGAAGTATGGTACGGGGCAGTGCTTTTCTCTATATAATATTTGGTGAAGAAATAATTTTTAAAATCCGTCACATAGGTATTAATAAAAATGAATTATAAGAAAAATGCATTGAGGCAAAAAATCTTGTTGAAGTATGTTGAGGCAAAACAATGAAGTGCAAAAGCATACAAAAGATTTAAGAGACATAAAACTACATTTCAATAAGTATATTCAGAACAAATATAACAAGAAAAAACAACAACGAAAACTGACCATCGTTCACTGAAAGTGAGCAGTTACTCAAGTAGGGAAAACCTAGCAGTTACCCAGATGAGAAATTACTGTAGCATGATCATTGCAAGTGCATGACACTAAGTTGCAAGGCTCACTGTGATGACTGCAATATAGGGAGAGCATCCTGACAGGAAGGGTGAAGACCTACAAGGAACCCCTTGTCCCTGAGAAGTACACCTGGAGTACTGATACAGAGAAGCTGCCTGCTTCAGTATGTGCTCTGAAATAGTCAGGAAGCAGAGCCTATGAACAACTGAAACTTTTTTTCCCTGTGTTTTTCCTCTTTAGTTATCTGCAATGAAATTGTATCCATAATGCTGATCTGAATGCTTTGAAAGGTATTTTATTTTTAGAATGATCATATTAATGAGATTTTTCTTAAAGACTACATTTTGACAAAGTGTCCCTAACAGTTTGAAGGCAAAGGGTTGTGATATTGAAAGGTTGCTATCAAGTAATCACATCGTTTTATATCTTAAGCCCAGTTTTCAACCTTCACTCTGAGTAAGAATTATCCAGGGAGCTTGTTAAACATGAAGATTCCTTGGTCCCACTTCAAGAGACTCTTGTATGTTGTGTCTGGTGCAGGGGTGGGGGTAGGGAGATGCAGAGTGAAGAGGGCTTTTCACCAGTCTAGCAGGTGATTCTGGTACAGCTGGTTCCACGTGTTAAAAATTGCTATTTCCAAAGGTACTGGCAAACTGAATTACCTAGCCAGTTCTGTGTGCTATTAGTGAGGAAAAGCATGCTCAGTGTAAAATAATATCCAAATCATTAGTATATGGTTATAGAATCTTGCCAAAGAAATGCACCATTTGTTCACAAACTCTCTCTTACATACCCTTTAGTGCTCAGTACTTATTGTTGGTACTAAAAATCCAAGAAGCTTGCAGAGGAAAATAATCCACAGATCACCTTAGATAGTTTACAAATATGATATTTAAAGACACATAGATGTTTAAGTGACATCTATTGTTATAGTTTCTTTCTCATTGGGCCTTAAGGCCTCTCTCAAATGTGGCCATCAGCCAAGATAGCCACTCTCTAGAAGAGACCTGACCAGGGGAAAGTTAGATTGGAGTGTGTTGGTCAAGTGAGGCACAATGAGGAGGTGAAACCAAAATGCATGAAGCAAGAAATTATTACTCACAGGGCCCAGAGAATTAGGGGTGCTGACAGGAGGCCCATGGTAAGTCTGGAGGTCACAGGGAGCTCAACGAGCAGTTGGGGAGCTAGACAGAGAGAGGACCTGTGGACTTTATCCTTTTTAAGGTCCATGGTTATCCCTTAGGCCTTCCCGAAGGGATTGTGGCTTAGCTAGTTTCAATAAAACATCTGAAAAATTGGGGGTGGGAACTTGCTTGTATGACTCTGGTGTCGACAATTAGGTTTTGTGTGGTCAACAGTTCCACAAAGGGAGGGGAAGTTTTCATTAGGCCAATGGTGACGGGTTATGACTAGGTTGCAGATAACTTATGTCAAAGTTAAAAATGGATGCCAAGACAGCAACTATATTACACACATTTATGACAGGTGCTGAGCTGGCAAATTCCCACATGATTGAGTGACTCCTCCTGTTAATAAAGTTTATTTTATTTTCAATTGTTACAGGTACATACTAGTTGTACATATTTACAGAATACATGTGATATTTTGATAAAAGCACAAGGTGTGTAATGGTCAAATCAGGGTAGTTGGGATATCCATCACCTCAAACATTTATAATTTGTGTTGAGGACATTCCAGAAACACTCATCTAGTTATTTTGAAATGTACAATTATTAACTGTAGTCGCCCTGTTGTGCTACCAAACACTAGATCTTATTTCTACTATATAACTGTATTTTTGTATTCATCAATCAACCCCTCTTATAATTAATTAATATTGGCACCAGCACAGGGTCAAATGAGAAGCAATGCATCACATTCCTTATAGCCAAGAAGCTGATCAGATGTTTGTCAACAAAACAAAGATAAGATCTTTGTAAAACACATGTTGAATATTAGCCATTGAGTGAGAGCTATTGACATTGGCCAAGGTGTACACTTTCACCATTTTATGTGTG